GGGGAGGAGCTTGGCCCTGGGGTGCCCGGCCCTGGGGTGCCCGTCTTCTGGCCCCGCGGTGATAGCGCTGCTGGGCTGCAATCCGCGCAGGGAGTCGCTTGACCCAGCAGGGCTGCCTCTAGCGTTACCAGGTCTGGCCCGGTACGGGAGCCTGCTCCGGTATGCTTTACTTAACTGGATAAGTCAAGGTGTATCAGTATACTTTGGTATTGATTAAAGTATGGGGTTATATGTTAGTAAATGCTGTTTGTGAACTCTTAAGTAGTCGTAAGACCTTTCTCCTGCCAAAAGGTCACTGGTGGAGCAAAGAGCTCATTTAGGAATGGTGGCCTAACGTTTCTGCTATGAAATGTTGAAGAATTGGCAGTTTTGACTTAAAATTATTAAGATGAGGTTTTCTTTCAAGATATCGGATATTGGCAGAGATTTGTGGTTAACTAGGCTAATTAGCTCCAGCTTCCTGCAATTGACAGTAGTTAACTCTTTAATTTTTATGAAAACTAGACTTTTGTTTCCCTTTTAGCATAATGCAGTTTAATACTTGATCAGTGCAACTGAAGCAATGACCTTTTTTTCTGATTTTCGTCCTGTTAAGAGTTACTCTTCTCTTAAAGACCTGGATCTGCTGACTCGGTACTCTAGTTTCAGCCTTACTTTTACACCACCTAGAAAATATATGAACGTGAAACAGTTTGTTGAACTTGAAATCTTCAGGTGGGACTGTTGCAAACTTTTCAGAAAGATCCCAATTCATACACCAGCAAATGGATGGTAGTTCATCCATTAGACTGTGCTTGCATGTGCTGGGCTATTATAGTGCTACTTGGAAAACTCCACATTCTGCTCTTTCCCCCACCTTCAACTGATGACCAACTGTATAAAAATAAAGCAGCACACTTGGCCTTAGTACTGCAAAAACTTAAGCACGTGACAGTTGGGTGAGGAGTCTCAACAAAGTCAGCATGCTTACCTTTGTGTCAAGCTTAGTTGTTAGACTTTCCCTCCTGAATAAATCTGCCATGGTTTTAATTGCTGTTCTCTTGAAATGCCATCAGTTATGGCATTCAGGGTAGAATATTCTAACTCGTAAAGAAGGTGATGTTCTTTCTACCACTTTTTGTAACAGCTCTGGCTTTTTGAGCTTGTGTTTTTCAAGGTGTGCAGGCTGCTCTGCTGCTATCTTTAATAATCTCTTCCCTTTAAAGTGCAGAGGTCCAGAAGTCTAGCACATGCTTTTCGTAAGAGGACTCCAGAGTCCTCCTGCAGCTTCCCTCTCTTCAGCATGAAAGTGTAATTGCAATAGATAAATTATAATACATTTTTGATAAATTTAAGAAATTACTTTCTTTTATTCCATGTAAGTTTGTCTTAGTAAATACTGACGGAGTGATTGGGGTTGACTACTTGAAAATGTTTGGATTTTTTAAATTGTAAAGTCTTCAGATACAGTACAGCACGGTCTCTTTTCAAAAAGATATTCTTTATGTTCAGACTCTGCTGTGTCCTGTTGGTATCTAATATACTGAAGTTTTTAAACATTCAGTAAAATTATTTTGAGTTAATTTTTTTGTTTATAATCTCTTTCAGTGGAGAAACAAGATACAACAAAGACAAGATATTGCAAGGTTAGTATCAGTTATTCTGCTAGCTTGTCAGAGACAGAAAATTATTCTTCCCTGCACAATGAGAAATCCTGTAACCGACTGCTGAAATGTTAAGTATTATTATGGAATAATATTGTAAACCTTAAGAGACTTTATTTCTAAGCCAGGACATTAGCTTGAAAGCTGTGGAGAACTGTAAAGATTCTAAGTTGGTCTCCACAGAATATCAACAAATAGTGATGCATTTGTGGTATCCACAGGCATATTAGCATAGTAGTTCCCTTTTCTAAACAGGGGAAAAAGTTGCTTGTAATTTAATAAAGGGATAGCAGCACCTGTTATTAAGGATGCCAGAGTGTCCCATAGCACTGTGTTAAATGTCGGTAGTATCAAGCCTGGGAAAAGGGCTCCTGGGATTCAGATGGAAGTAGGAGCTGCGGCTCTGATGAAGAACCAGCCAGGTGCACTTTTGTGCGATGGAGTTGGTAAGGAGCTACGGAAGAATGGATAAAGGTCATGTTGTAAAGGAGGCTATTGCCTTAAGAAGCTAATCTGTCACAAAATGAGCCTACAGTAGAGCAAGGAAGAATGAAAAGTAAAGATTGTTTAAATGCTTGAATCGTCCAATCCCAGATTTTTATAGGAAGGTAGACAAAAAACATCTTAATCCAGAATTCTCCTTAGTGACTGCTGGTTTGTATACCCAGAGCTGAAAACACTGATCTGCTTGGATGTCTGTTGTAGGAAAACAGAGTCTCACTGCTACAAGGAACCTGGTGGGGTTGTACTCTGGATAAATGAATTCTGTACAGTGCTATGTTCTGTGAGGAAGAGTCACGCTTCTAGATTTTCCTACCTCTGTTTTGACACTGCAGCTTACAGTTCTTGCAACATAGTTTTGTTCTCATAATAAAGTGACTAAACAGTACTCCCCCACTTTATGTTCTTAGAAGTACATCTTTTAAATGACGTCTTTTAAATTCCTAGGCCTCTGGCAGATGACATGTAGTAGGTTCTTCTCTGCCCTCCTGTCCACTGTAGAAAGTGAACGTTGCCAACTCTTACAGAAGCATGTGCACCTTGTCCTTAGAGAGGTGTGAGACCTATACCAGCACGGTACGGTACAGACTCTCACATGGCAGAGCTACAGACAGGGTGGTCAGAACTCAAGTTCTGAACTTCTGCCGTCCTGTCTTTTGCTGTTGGAAGCATATGAATAATTATGCATTTGTTTGGCAAAAATGTTTTTTGTCATTCTCGTTCTGATAAGAATTGCATACATGCTGCTTTCCTAAAAAAGTAAAATGGGTGACACAAGTGTGGACATAGCAGTTTGTTACAGGTTTGTCCCTCTGCTGTGGTTCTTAGTTCTCCTACAGACTCTCTGAGCTGTGACAGGAGCGCACCTGTTTCGTTCAAGTTGGATTACGAAAGTGCTGGTTCTCTCAGTGCTGTCCTAGAGCTCTGTAGCCAGTTAGCTTCACAGAGTAGTCTGTCTGAAAACAATTTTTGGAAGGGTTCCTGCTTTTCAGCCAGGTTTGCTCCATCAACTCTGCAGCTGCATGAGCATTAGTGTCAATGTGCAATGTGGAGTCGAGGAGAGGAAGAGACCACAACAGACTGTGTTTACGTCAACTGTAAAATTCTTGTGAAACTGTGTCTATGGCTGCATTCCGCGTTACACAGAATCCCTTCTTGTTACCTCATTTCTTCAAGGCATTGTCAATGTTAAGGAATGGGGAGGGGCAGGTGTTTCATATTTGTCAGGACTTGATTCTCCCAATGTTCTTTTCCATATACGTATTTTAGTATTAACAACATTATATTAATTATATTGTCCTTTTTCTTATTTACAAACAACAGATCTGTTTATAGAATTTCAGTTTCAGTTGTAAGATTCCTCTTGCAGGAAGCCTACTAGTGAGCATTCTAAAAAGGGCAAGTGATTTGAAATGACTACTCACATTTAGAAAATGTAGGCCTCTTTTTTATGTTTACACTCGTCATTCATATATATTAATATAAATATTATTGATAATGATCCTTCTGTCTTCCTAGCCTGTACTCCCTTTTTCCATACAGTTTGTGTGACTCAGCTTATGGAAGATCAGAGGAACAGTGACTTTTATTAATAGTTGGTGTTACTGAAGGAGATTCTTTATTGCTGCCATGCTTGCTCAGCTGCTAAATGATCTAAAATTCACATGTCTTAATGCTGATGGGTTTTTATTTTGTAGGCCAAGGAGTGGATGAGCCGCTTTCTGCAACTGGTTTCAGACAAGCAGATGCTGCTGGTGTATTTCTCAGTAATGTGAAGTTTACTCATGCCTTCTCAAGTGACCTCCTGCGAGCAAAGCAGGCAAGTGCTTCTTGAGGCAACCAAATGTAAATAATAGGTTCAGAATTTGGTGTTTATTTGTCATTGATGATGCAAAAATAATACGGTGATGGAGAGCCACAAGCTATTTTGATGGACTTAGAACTGCAGTTTGAATAGTGTAAAATTCCAGAAGGCCTCTGTAAGGCTGTTTCAATGAAAATGACTCAGTTAGGAAGCAATAAGGGCCAGCTTGCTTTGCAAGATGTCATGCAGTGTTGTTCTCGTTGATTTGCTGTTATTTTATATGTGCATAGGTTCTTGCTAAAGAAGTAATTGGGACTTAGAGGTAACACAGAGTGAAGTTGGTTTTTCTTTGAAGAAACAAAACAAATTGGCTGTGATTTGTTGCACTGTCTTATGCATTTTGGCTGTATGCTGTGTTTTTCTGAGAAAAAGTTAGTACAAGGATCATTAAATGTGCAGAGAGGTTGGTGTTTTGGCAGGAATGTAATAGCACACCTCTCACCTTGATGCACCATTTTAATAATTAATATTAAAGAGGAAAAATGTTAATTACTGAGTCGGATTACATGTGATTTTGTGTGCAAGATTACAAAATACTAAAAAAATTGGGGAAACAGAACTTTTAAAGGTAAAGACATAGATCAGCTGTTCTAGGAAAGTCCTCTCTCCTGTGAAAACCCTATCCTTAATTGTCTCTTCTGTTACTGATGCTGTGATTTCAGGGGATGTGTAGGCTTCACCTGATTGAAACTGTTAAGTGATTCTTAATAGCCCTGCTGGTTTCTTGCTCTTTGCTCTGCTGTCCTGCTACAAAAGTCTGTGAAGCTTTGCTGTAAACTGGATCAACAAAATCTAGCATAAAACCTCTTTTTTTCTTAAAGCATACATCATCAACATTGCTCATCAGTTTTGCAGCACAGTCCCATAAGCAGGACAGCTTGGGCAGAAAACAAACTAGAAAGACAGGGAGGGAGGGCTGCAATAATTAGGTATTTTTAAAATGCATAGTAGCTGCCTGACAAGAAACTTCCTTTTCATGTGTGAATGCCAGTGATTGTATTTAAAACATTAAGAATCCTTTGTAGCACTCATAAGACTGTCTGTGCTATGTGCCTCCCTGGGGTGTATTGGTTTTGAATGCTCAGCCACTTGAGAGTGAGGTTGGTTATTTTTTTCCTTTTATCAGAGACGACCTTTTCCATGAGAAGCATTTTCATTCTCATAATGTAGAAGGCAGACCTGAATTTGTCCTTTGCATAAAGGAAATGGGTTTTGCCCTTTGTTTGATGAGCTGTTCAGACTTTGTGGAAGCTTTTCCAAAGATGTGTAAAGCTGCAGTTTCCATTTGCTAGGAACTCCCTTTTTTGGCAGCTGCAAATGCGTGAGGAAGTGTCCTTTACTATGCTGTCACTTCATCGCTCAAGTATGAGAAGAATGTTATGCATTCTCTTGCAAAAGAGAAAAAAACAGTTTTTAAAGAAACTGTAAAGTTTAGTTTTCCTTGCAGTGTCTCCTGCATCAGTTGTCATCAGGGTGTGTACTGGTTACTGGAACTAGGAGTGGTGTCTGGTCCTCTGGCTGCTGCCCATGGTGAACAGCTAAACGTTCAAGCCTGAGCAGGAAAGGAGAAAATGGGTGTGTGCAAAGAGAGTTGTACTAGCTGGACAGGAATTCTGAGAGCAAAAAGAGATGCAAAATGAGCATGTATAGGAAATGTGCAGAGAGGCTTTGCAGGGAAGCCTGTTTGAGAGAGTAAGCCTAGGAGCGAGGGTCAAAGACTAGCTTCGGAAGTTATCGGTGAAAATTAAAAAAGGCTGGTTGCACAGACTGAAATTTGGTGTAAACAGAGCATAACTCCATAAGACCTGTAAGCTTAACAGAGCATAACATTAAAGTCTGCCGGAAAATATGGAGCCTGTTGTGAGACGCTCATGCAGCTGGGACAAGAAGTCTGCAATAGTGAAGTTCCAGATGGGGACAGGCTGAGCCCTGAAAGGAATGGGAAAAAAATCTTGAAGCATTTTCCATCTGTAAAGTGGCAGTGCTTCTGAAGCATGCTGATATTCTAGTAACGGATGGTGTATGAAAGGTGTGAGCAAGTTTATCTCTTCTGCAGAGCAGATTTTGGTTTCAGCACAGTAGATGAAGCTTTGTTTTTATTTACAGTTCAGGAAGTGAATGTTGTCTATTCTATGTACTGAGATATCAGTCCTGGATATAATTGTAGGATATAATTGTACAATTAACTATGCTATTCATATATACAAGGGAATTTATCTGAATTTTGACATTACTCTGTCAAATTTAAAGTTGCAACATAAAGCCTTTCCTAAGCAATACATTAAATAAGTCATAAAATATTGTTAGTACAACGAGGCTGCTTATTATTTGCCAGAATCCAAGGAGCCTTTTCAAAATGAGCTCTCTGAATATCAGTTTGTTTGGATGTAGGCATCTGCACAAGACTTTGCAAAACTATATGTGAATCCAGTACAGCCTTCACGCTTTGGTACGTGTAAGAACAGGAGCAGGTTAGCCATTCTTTAGTTCCCATTATTTGCTGTGGCAGCCAGACAGCTATATGATGTCCAACACACTAAAGCCTGTATTAGGCAATACTTTTTCCAAAGTGCTTTCGGAATTTCCGTTGATGAGTTGTTTTGCCCTCCCTACACCCCCAAAATCACATGCTTCCTTGGAGGAAAAAAAAGTGTATAGCACAGAACTCAAGACATCCAGACTATTGTTAGAAGCAAACTAAGTCCTTTGGGTTTTTTCTTTCTCTTGGCCATCAAAAAGCAGGTGAATACAATAAGCTAGTTCTTTTTTTCCCCAAGTGTATCAGTCAGTGCATTTCTCTCTCATAACATTGGGTCAGACACGAGGCATAAGTGTGGATGGGGATGACTATAGACAATCTTATCATTTATGTTAATGTCAAAAAGTCCATTCATTTGCACCTGCATGGGTAGAGGTAATGGCTCCTTTTGTTTGGGGTGGAGAGGAATGGGGGACTGGGACCACTCTGTCTCATCTCACACTCCCCCAGGCATCCAGATAACACCAGATATAGGTCTAGGGATGGTTGCCACCTCGCCCAGTGCTGAGTTTCAT